ATTCCTGGATGCCTTTGCTGAGCCATAGAGTTTTTTTTTTAAGCATTCCTGTCCCCCTTGGTGTGCATTGGGACTGACTCCCTTTGAGCTCAGAGGATTATCTCCTTGAGGAACAATCATCTATCTTGGACACGCATCTCATTGAAGCTGCGAGACCCCAATGCTTCTCCTACTAATTTTCTTAGTTCATTGAAGTCAGCCCTCCTGAAGTTGAGGACTTTTGCCTTACTGCTTGCTTTCACCAGTCTGCACTGGATAGTAAATTCCAGCAGGTGATGATCACTGTCACCCAGGTGGTTGAATACCCACAGACCCCTCACCAGGTGGCAAGGACCAAGTCCAGCAAGGCATTTCCCCTGGTGAGACTATGTACCTCCTGGGTTAGGTGGAGGTCCTGTATCCTGGCTAGGAACCTACGTGAGTAGTCAGACCTGGCTGACTGCTCCTCCCAGGAGATGTCTGGATAGTTTAGGTCAACCATATCCCTTGACTTTACAGCCTCCATGAGCTGACCTGAGAATTCCAGGTCCAGCTCGTCCCCCTGGTGAGACGGTCTGTAGTAGACACCCACTATCAAGTCCCTCAGTTTGCCCCTTCTCTGACTCCATCCTGATCATTGAGGACATGTATTGCTCTTTGATGTAGAGCGCTACACCCCCCCACATTTTTTCCCTGCTCTGTCTCACCTGTACAGCCTGTAGCCCTCAATGTCCACTACCCACTCATGGGTAGGATCCCACCATGTTTCCATGAGCCCCACTAGGTCTGGGTTTTTGCTAGCTAGCAGGAGGGTGAGTTCCTCCTGCTTATTCCCCATGGCTCTTGGGGACAGTGTGTGGCTCTGGGCAGTGTCCTTGGATAGTGAGGTGTGGCAGGGAGGTGCCTGGCTGATCTCCCACCCTTGGGGAGGAGCTGGTGCTGTTCACAGCTGGTGGTGTCATGGCCAGCCATGCCTTTTGGTGGCATCAGGGGCACCAGAGCTCGTGAGGCAGGTGCTGGCCTGGGATGCCTAAGTTGCTGGTGGAGAGTGTAGCTGGGGAGCTTGGCAGCTGCAGGAGCCCTCCCCTGAGGGGCCCTCCTCCAGTGATGTGTGACTGTGGGTGCCAGGGCAGGGGCTCATATAGACGTGCGTGCTTACTCCGCAGTAAACTATGCTAATGAGCAGTTAAGTGTTTCATGTAGACATGCCCTGTATGCTACAGTCTCCATGTTAACTGATCTGGTTCTTTATCTCAAAGTCACAGAGAGCAACACTGTTACATATAGGGAACATGTACAAGTGTGTTTTAATTTGCAGTCATCTATTTTACTATGCATAAAAGCATTGTGTAAAAAACTGTGCAAATACACTAATGCATAGTGAAATAGGTTACTGTGTATTAAGTGCCACTTGAAAAACACACCTTTGCAGTACTCACATTGGAGGTACTACTTTTAATGTGCATTAGGAAAAGTGCATTAATGCATGTGTAGACAAGCCCACAATGATCCAGAATTCTGTCACTGCAGGAGAGCTAGGGATGGCTACTGCACATTTGGCTCTGTTGTCTATAATTACCAGTCCTGGACTTAATGGGTTTTGGAGGGTTTGGCATTTGATTTTGGAAGTTTTAGGATTAGCATTATGCAGCCAACTTCATTTCCCCTCTATTTTCTTCCTCTTTTTGATACCATACTTGCCTTGTGCACACAAAGGCACTTAGGCTAGGTGGCACAGCCTGGCCCTACTTCCTCAGAGAAGCAGGGGGAGAAAGCCCAAATCAAGAAACAGCTTCAGGTTCAACCCAACCAGCTAAAGCCTATGAGGAGGAGGTAACAATGTAAACATTTGCATAGTGCTGCATGACTGGTACTGTATGTGACTCTGTGGTTCGCTGAAATACAGCTATCTCTGTGGTAGGGGTGACAGTCAATTAAGGCCCCAGCAAAAGCAACATTTAAAATGTGATTAATGTGCTAATGCAGCAATACATTGTATCATGCCATACCTTCAGGCAATTAATCAGTTGACAACATACTGCAAAAATGGTGATCCAGCCTTGCAGATGTTACTTGTTAAATGTAGACTATCTTTGCAGCTAGTTTTTATTGAGCTTTAATTTGAATATGTGGCATGTTACAGTGAGGGCGATAGTGTCTCACCAGGTCTTCCAGCATCCCTGGGTTAAATGCTTCTCCCTCTCCCCCTCCTTCCTGGAGTCCCAGGACTCATGCTATGCTCTGCTGTCCAGGGTGCCTCAACAGGAAATGTTACAACTCACCGTCCCTTCTCCCTTTCCCCAACCAGCCTTCAGAATTGCTTCTTTAAGGAGCCATTGAGCACCTCTTCCTTGGGTTCTCCTTAGAATCTAACAGCCACCCCTTGAATTCTTACCCTTAAACCTGCAGAAAAGCCCATTGACCCACTGTGAGAGAATGACTGGGTCAGGGGATCAGGGGGAGCTCACATTGCTAAGCATTAAATTAAAATAAAAGATACCCAGTGTGAAAATCAAAGCAGGAAGATAGCATGCACTAGTTAGCAGAAGGTATGAAGGCACCCAAAAGAGACAAGAAACACACTTTTATTATGAAAACTTTCTGGAAAGATGTCAGACTCTGTCGTACCAAGTCACTCCATCCAATTCCACTGGATGGGACCCCTAAGTTGGGACAGTGTCTCTGAACAGTATCTTCAAGTTAGGCCACAAACAGGTTCTTATTCATAGCTGTCCCCAAAAGAAACATCCTTAGATGGTCGATACCAGCTCGACCCACACTGACCAAAGCAGCATGCTTAAAGAGGATGACAGTGCCCAGGAAAGTCTACATCTCCAGAAAATAAAAAGCTAAAATGGCAAGGAAGCAACTCAAACTAAAACTTATTTGAGTTTATACATTGATCACCTTACTCCACCACTCTGGATCATACCGGCTCTGGAGACAGCTGGAGTCAGCTCTCCTCTGCAGCAGAAATGCAGGTGGAAGGCAGATGGGACCAAGCTTTTTCTATGGCCCTGGGCACATGGATAGCAACATGGAAAGGCTGATATAGGTCTCATCTGCCACTCTAATATGTGGAGCAGAAGCCTTGGCCTCTTGCTGCCATTCACCAAGGACACTTGAGAGATTGGACTAGAATACAGGAAGCAAGCTAATCCATTATTGCAGAATATAACATGGGTATTTCTAGTAAAACAAGCACTGCTTATACAAATCAATAATACTGCTATAAAAAGGGCATTGCCCTGCTCAGAGCCTCACATAGCTCTTCGGGTTCCCAGGTAGACAACACAAGCTGGCCAAGCCTCCCACACAAGGACAGCTCTATATGGTCCCTCTCTCTGCCAATGAGACATGCAATGTGAGTTGCCCAGAACCATGCAGAGAAGAGGATACATGGTATGGGGCAGATTTCAGCATTGGGACGAGCATCTCTGATAGACGAGGGAGTCCAAAACCCTAGGACATGACAGAGAGAAGGTTTTGAAGTTTCTCCAGCACCTGCTCCCAGCTGCAGACTTGCTTCCTCCCATCCAACAGGTATTCAATGTGGTAGTAGGCCAGAGTCAGGGCCTGGGGCCCATGGGTCTCCACTACTGCACGATTTGAGGGGGCATTATGGCTGCTTTGGGCTGCTCCAAGGTGGCTTCCCTACTCTTCTTTCTTGGGGGCTTTTTAATAGGTATTTTCTTGCTGGCCTGGTCACTCAGGGGTGCCTGCTCCTGGCTGCTGCCGGAATTTTGCTTCTCTGCCCTTTTCGTTTCACTGACCATGGTCTCTGACACAGGGCTGATCAGTTTTTGCAAGTTGGGGGAGGTGGGAAGCACTGGCTTGCTGGATTTCTGGTTGTTGGTAGCCACTGAACGCTTGGCTTTCTGTGGAGGGGTGGGCTTCTCCCTCTGGGACTGCAAGGGACTCATTCCATTTTGCCTAGTGCTGCTGTCACCCTTGTTGAGGCTCTGAGTTTTTTCTTTCAGTTGTGCAGCTAGTAAAGTGGCTGCCTCTGAAGACAAATGGGGATGAATGGTCTCGGAGCGTGGCTTACTGAGATTGGGACTCTTAGGGGCCTCCTTGCCTTCCGCTCCTTTCTTCTCTGGGTGGTAGCTACCAATCTTTTTGAGAGCATTCTGGACAGCTCCATTGATGTTCTCCATCTGCTCTGAACTAGTTTTGTTCCTTTGTTTGGGCTTGGATGGTAGCTGAGGCTCCCCACAGAGGGAGGCTTTGTTCTCTGGGAAATTCAACTCTTTCAGATGTTTCTGTGCTTTGTCTTTGCTCCTCATGCTGCATTTTTCATCAGCTTTGGCATGCAGGCTAGCTGAAGTCTCACTTGGGCTTCTCTTTCTCTTGGCTAAGCCCTGGGTGGGCTCAGAGCAATCAGGCTGCATGAGTGCCCTCTCTGGGGATCTACTGGGAGCAGGCAATGAATTGGACTGGTTGGCATTGTACCTTCCATGAATCCAGGACACTTTGGGTTTTGTGGATGGATCTGGGGGAGGGGGTTTGATTCTTTCAGGAGAAGGAGGTTTGCCACTAATGACAGGGCTTTTGGTATCCATTGTATTTTCATCTTCATCCTTGGACTGCTTAGAGAGGCGGGCAATTTTTGCATAGAGAGCCCCACTGGCAGAGCCAGACCCACAGGATGACCTCTCGCTGTCAGATGATTTGAGCAGGGGTGTTTCACTGCTGTCAGCTTGGAAAGCCTTGACAGAGCCTGTCTCTTTCAGGAAGGTGTACTCGCCAGCCTCCTCTGTGATGATTGGGGGTGTCAGCTTCTCCAGCAGGCTGCAGGAGGTGCCCTTCTCCTTGCTTTCACTCACACCCTCTGTAAAAGGAAAGCATACACTTACTGCTGCACTGTGGCATGTAGAGATGGAGTGGGGAATGAAGGCCACAGGAAGAGCTGGGACAGATTAGAGCAGTATTATAATCAGCCTGCCAATAGGATTAGGGGGAAAAACTCTGACTGGTTTTAGGAGGGTGCTTGATAATTCTATAAGCAATATAACTGGGTGCCTGCAATCTCGTCCAGTCTTGTGTCCTATGTTATGCTACAGGGGTATAGGTTATAGCTGTGTTGGTCTAAATACATATGCAAGAAAGCCAGTCAGTGAAGATGTAAATTGAGGAGTCATTGGGTGAGAGACAGGTTGGGTGGGGGGAGGGGAGCAGGAGGGGAATGAATGTAGCTGGTAAATAGCGGAGAGATACCTGGGAAGTCAGATGTCAGGCAGGTTATAATGTGCCATAAATCCAACATCCCTTGTGTGCCATAAATCCAACATCATAAATCCATCACCCACTGACTCCTCAATTTACATCTTTACTGACTGGCTTTCTTGCACGCATACCAGCCTCTGGCCTCTTTACTATTCCTTCCATCCAGGAAGAGCACAGACCAACTGCAGATGCTTCCTCAGCCTGACGAAGGGTATTTATATCCAAAAGCTTGCAACAAAGATGTTTTCCAACTATTTGACTTGGTCTAATAAAAGATATCAGATTTACCCAAAGAACCTTGTCTGCTTGTGTTATGCTATACATTTTCCACCTCAACACCCTGCTCTTCACTGATACTCTCCTTATACTGTGCCTAATAAACACCACCCTTGAATTTTGTCTAGTTTGCATATCAAGCTGCCTTTCTTGGAGGATTTTACAGAGAACTGAAGCAACTAACAATTTTCTTGAAAACCCTCAATACAAATATAGTAGAGCTGTTGGACTCAGAGCCTGTGAAGTCAGAGACTGTTATGCCCTCTTACAGACAGACATGGAGAAATGTTCCTGGATAAGGATCTGTACAGACATCATCAAGTCAACATAAAAATCTGTTTCCTGGATATACTAAGCTTAACTTTTATTTTAGATCATCTTTGATCGTCTAGGACTGTTTTGCTGTGTTTTCTTTTTGCTTTGATTCCTGAAGAAGAAATAATTTTCTCCTTTGCCTGGAAGACTCCAGACAAATGGTTATTCTTTATGTGAGCAAAGAGCTCACCTTTGATGCCAGCTTGGGCAGTGTTCTGTTTAGAAATCAGTTCAATAAGGGTAGGGAGGCCCATGAGAGAACAAATTGTGCGGTCTCCTGCTATGAGCACCCATCTATGGGGCACCCGAGTCAATGCGTGAGCTAGCACCAATATCAGAACACAAGTGTCATGGAGGGAGCAGAACTGACATTATGGTTCACTTCCCCCATACAGAGACAGGCACCTGTTACCCTCTAGCATCACGAGGACTACAGTGCCAGGTAAAATAGACTGCTTATCAGAGACTTTGGGAATTTTCCTGTCAAGCAGTTCCAGTGACCCCTGGGAAAGTGGTTTGGCCTGACCAGCACTCCCTTAGCTTACTCACCCTCATGGGGTACACAGTACACTGGCCCCTCATCTGTGGTATCAAAGGAAGAGAAGGAGCCACGGGAGGACCAGGAGGGGGATGGTTGCTCAACCACAGAAGGTGGTTCAATGAAGCTGCAGTTCATGGTATTCTCCAAGTCATGGTGAGCCACTGGAAAGAGAGAGAGCAGAGAGTTGATGGTAGTGCTCCTGTATTACTTCTCAGGCTGTTCCATGCACAAAATATGGTGCAGAAAGTGACCTTTACCCCATGAGAGGTAGACCTATTTACAGAGAGCACATTATTCATCCCAAGTGCATGACTTTGCACTTGTCCATGTTGAATCTCATCTAAGTGATTGTGGACCATTTCTCCAGCCTATCCAGGTCATTCTGAATCCTAACCCTACCCTCTCGAATGCCCACAATTCACCCAACTTGGTGTCATCTGCAAATTTGCTAAGTATGTACTCAATCTTATCATCCAAATCATTAATGAAGATGCTAAACAATACCCAAGCTAGGACAGACCCCTGGGGAACCCTACTTAATACCTCCTCCCAACTAGATATTGAGTCATTGAGGACTACTTCTTGACTACAATGATCTGACTGGCCAATTTCCAAAGGCCTTCTGCCTGGCTCACAGGACTGTTGCTTAGTTTGATTTTTTAAGTGCTGGAGCTTATAAAGGGACAGCAGGCAGAGCTGGGTAAATGAACAAGAATTCCTTGAGCAGGATCTCTAACTATTAACAATGATTCCCTAGGCTCTCTTACAACCAATCTGTCCCAGGTTTCAATGGGACAGACTAGCAGAATACATCTCCATCCCTTCACATGTAGGAGCACCAGTCCTGGGCCTCTCCACTCTAGTGTTCAGCAGAACATCTTGCTGCTCGATGTGCCCATCAGTGGGTGTGTCTATACATGCATTAATGCACTTTTGTTACTGTGCATTGTTTAGTACCTCTAACATGAGATACTACATAAATGTGCATTAAACTGCCCTAATGCACAGTAGCAAAAGCACACACCTTTTTAGTGACACTTAATGTGCAGTATGCTATTTCTACTGCACATTAGTACTGTTTTTGACACGACACTTTAATGAGCAGTAGAATAGGCTACTGCACATTAAAAGTGCACATGGAAATATGCACAATAAGGTTGGGATAGTGGATGAAGGCTTAAAGGAAAGGACCACTCCACCAGCACTCCTATAGCTTACTATTCCATAACACTACATACAAAAGAGCTCACTTTTCCCTAGAACCATGTTCACCCTAACTCTTTTCACCTCAGTCCTGTGTATACTTCATTTTCTTTTTGCCATTCTGTAGCTTTTAAAGCCTTTTCTAAGTTTATAACACCACAGGAAAAAACAAAACAAAAAATAACCAACTAATGTCCTCTCTCTCTCTCTCTCTCTCTCTCTCTCTCTCTCTCTCTCACACACACACACACACACACACACACACACACACACACACACACACCATTCATTCTGTTGCATTCTCTGGCAAAACAAGAAAATGTATAGGAAAGGAAAAAAAAAAATTAAAATCAAAATGTAAACATTCTCAGTTTAATCTAAAAAGCCAGAACATTACAAAAGTTTTGTTTTCTTTCTTCCAAAAACTTTATTTATTAATGAATCCAACCCATAAAATAACACATTTAACATTCAAAAGCATATCCAATCCTCAATATATACACAAAGACAGACACTAATCTTCTATCAATAGTACTACCAGAATTCAAATCAATTTTCACACGTCTTGTGTTCTTTTCCTCTTTTTCTCCACTCTCCAACAGTTCCTTTGCATTTTCACCAATGCCAATCCCTGTGTTTCTTCAACTGTATATAATAATCACCCCTCCTTTTCCCTATAATTCTGACTAACATCAATTTTATTAACTTCTCTTTGCTTTTAATTTTTAAATTTATTCTGAATTTATTTTTAAGTGTTCACTCATAGAACTTTCATTTCAATATTCAAAAAAGTTTCTCAAATTTTCTGGTTTAGAGGCCCGATGATTTTTTTTTAACAAACTGCAAAAAATTCTATCAGATTTACAAGTAAGGATATTTTTTGCTTTCTTTCCTGTTGAACACGGACTTGATAGAACAACTTTTCCATGACTGAAGTCCCAAGTTTTTGGTAACCACTCAGTGATTCTAGGGGTGTCACTTATCTTCTAGACTTTTGGTGGTATTCCTCAGGAAGCAGGCACAAAAGCTGCAGGAGGAGGCAGCAATGCTCCAAAGCATCCTCTGTCATGAGAATTTCATTGATTCAATGATGGAGACCTCCAGGACAGTGGAGGAAGGACTGCCAGAGGTGACACTAGAGATGGAAAAGGACATGAACTCCCATGAAGGTGGAAGTTGGAAGCTTGTGACTTCTTCATCCCCACTTGCAGTGGTTTGCCTGGAGAACAGATATGGAGCCCTAGCAACAGAAGAGAAGGAGCATGTTCATTCAGGTGAAGAAGCCAAGCCAGGCCTCTCCAAGTGAGGGAGGATAGGGGACATTACCATCAAGAGGAAGTAACAGGCAATGGTGGTTGGAGACTCCCTTCTGTGGGGGATGGAGGCATCCATTTGTTGGCCTGATCATTTGTATGGGGAAGTCTCCTAGTTGCCTGGAGCCTGGAACTGAGAAGTCATCAGGCCCTCTGACTCAACCCCCATGCTGCTCTACTATGTGGGCATCATTGAGATTGCCAGAAAGGACCTTGAGCAGTTCAAAAGTGAGTAAAGGGCTCTGGGTGCAAAGGTGAAGGGGACAGGGGGGTCAGGTAGTGTTCTCCTTGATCCTTTCCATCAAGGGGAAGGGTCCAGACAGGAATGGATGCATCCTACAGATTAATGCATAGCTGTGCAGATGGTGTTACCAGCAGGGCTTTGGGTTCTTTAAGCACAAGATGTTGTTCCAAGGACTGCTGGGAAGAGACAGGATCCACCTGACAAAGAGAGGAAAGAGCGTCTTTGCAGATAGGCTCAGTAACTTAGTCAGTCAGGCTTTAAACTCAATTTGCTGGGGGATGGAGATCAAAGCTCTGGAGTAAGTGGTGAAGCGGGTGACCTGGGGGAAGCTCAAGCATGAGATGGCAACAGGGGAGGTCTTCTCATTCTTCCAGAGAAAGCCAGCTAGTTATGTCAGATGTCTGTACACAAATGCACAGAACCTGGGAAACAAGCAGGAAGAACTGAAAGTTGTTGCACATTTGAGGACCTATGATGTGAATGGAATAACAGAGACTTGGTAGGATAGTTTGCATGACTGGACTTTTGTCATGGGTAGGTGTAAACTTTTCAGGCAGGGCAGGCATGGGAAAGGGGAAGGAGGAATTACTTATATGTAAAAGAACTAGATGATTGCTTTGAGCTCCAGTATGAAATTAGAGATAGGGCTGTTGAAAGTCTCTGGGGTAGGGTCAGAAAGGAGAGCAACAAGACTGATGTCTTCATGGGTGTGTGCTGTAGACCATTGGAACAGGAGGATGTGGTGAATGAGGCTTTCTTCAAACAGCTTGCGGAAGTTTTCCCATCACAGGCCCTGCTTTTCCTGGGGGACTTCAATCACCCTGACATCTGCTGGGAGGGCAATGCAGCAGTGCACAGGCAATACACAAAGTTTTTGGAGAGTGTTGGGAACAGCTTCCTGGTGCAAATGTTGGAAAGGCCAACTAGAACCTGTGCTCTTATTGACCTGCTGCTCACAAACAGAGAAGAATTAGTGGGGATCATATAAGTGGATGGCAACTTGGGCAGAAGGGACTATGATATGAATGAGCTCAGGATCCTGAGGAAAGGATGGAAGGAAAGCAGCAGAGTAGGGACACTGAGCTTCAGAAAAGCAGACTTGGATTCACTCAGGGAACTGATGGCCAGGATTCTCCGGGAGGCCAGTCTGAGGGGGAAAGGAGTTCAGGAGAGCTGGTTGTATTGAAAGAAACTTTATTGAGGGTGCGATAAGAAACATACAAAAGCTGGACATGTACAAGTCCATGGGGACAGACATGATGCACCTGAGGGTGCTGAGGGAGTTGGCTAATGTGATTGCAGAGCTGCTGGCCATTATCCTTGAAAACTCATGGAAATCAGGAGCAGTCCTGGACAATTGGAAAAGGGCAACTATAGTTCCCATCTAGAAGAAAGGGAAGGAGGAGGACCTTGGGAACTACAGATGGGTCAACCTCACCTGAATCCCTAGAAAAATCATGGAACAAGTCCTCAAGGAATCCATTTCTAAGCCCTTGGAGGAAAAGAAGGTGATTAGGAACAGTCAGCATGGATTCACCAAGAGCAAGTCATGCCCAACCAAGCTGGCTGCCTTCTATGATGAGATGACTGATTCTGTGGATGCAGGGAGAGCAGTGGACATGGTATACCTTGACTTTAGTAAGGCCTTGATACAGTTTCCCACAACATTTTTGCAAGTAAGCTAAGGAAGTATGGGCTGGATGAATTGACTGTAAGGTGGATGGAAAACCTGAATGGAGCATCGGGTTTAAAGAGCAGTAATCAATGGGTAGGTATCTAAGTGACAGCCAGTATCAAGTGCAATGCCTCAGGGGTCAGTCCTGGGGCTGGTTTTGTTCAATATCTTCATCAATGACCTGGAAGATGGGATGGAGTATACCCTCAGCAAGTTTGCAGATGACACCAAGGTGGGGGGAGAGGTAGATATGCTGGAGGTTAGAATTAGGATTCAGAGAGGCCTAGACATTGGAGGATTGGATGAAAAGAAATCTAATAAAATTCAATAAGGACAAGTGCAAAGTCCTGCACTTAGGATGGAACAATCCCATGCACTAGGGTAAGCTGAGGACTTGGCTAAGCAGGAGCCTGCAAAAAAGGAGCTGGAGGTTACAGTGGACAATAAGCTGAATATGAGCCAACCACATGTCCTTGTTGTCATCAAGGCTAACAGGACACTGGGCTCTATTAATAGGAGCATTGCTAGGAGATCAAGGGAAGTGTTTCTCTTCTCTATTTGGCACTGGTGAGGCCACATCTGGAGTACCGTGTCCATGTTTGGGCCCCTCACTATAGAAATGTGGACAAATTGGAGACAGTCCAACAGAGGGCAACAAAATTGGTTAGAGGGCTGAGGAACAGAACTTCTGTGGAGAGGCCGATGGAACTTGTCTTATTTAATCTG